GCAACAACAATTTCATCAAACATCTGCATGGATATAAGATAAAGTATAGATAGATTCATAAGTTGAGCCTGGATTGTACCGAATTTCCCTTACAATAAAATATAATATTTGATATTTTTTGTTTAGGGTAACAGTATTTTTTCGCAGTTTATTCCAGTAGGATCTATTCCCGTTTAAACATTAAACGATCTTTCTGCATCATACTAACACAGAGATATGTATGATGTTTTCTCTTTCCCTGCTGAAGCTTACAATAGCCAAATGGGCGGCGACGGCCCTCTCCCATCTCATCGGCCTTCCTGAAATCACACAACGAAGGAACTACCACAAGATCGCGATGCCACTTTCTCGCTGCTTCATTTCAGCAACACCCAGATCTCGTGTTATGAGAAGCGTCGATCATCATCGCAGCTCCGATGAGTGGCGAAAGGTAGATTCACCATCGATGAGTGTGTCGTTAACAGGGAGGCGCGGCAATGAATGTTTTTTTCTTCAAAGTGATTTAGAATAAGAGAAGGATTCAAGCTCAGCCTCTCTCATTTAGTCCTACATTCTAATGAGGAAACCCATGGTAGGTTTCAGTGACGAGGAAGGCAGTCCTACCAAAACTGCGATTCCATAGACGTCCATACAAGAGGAAGGAGAGGTCCTGAAATCGCTGCACTGACAGCCAACAAGACCACCTACCACAGTTAACCAAAGCAGGGAAAGGGAAAACAGACATAACTATCTCAAACACTATGAAAAAAAAATAATAATAATAAACCTTTTCATTAAGAGAATTCTTCTTGTCAGGCCTGTTGAAAGTGATAGTCCTGACGCCTTCATGGAGAGTGACAAGAAGATATTCATAGCGAGAGTTGTCTGCCGTGGGGACTCCAGGAGGGGCGCTGGACATCCTTCTGGTTGAGTGTTGCCCTGGAGCGTGGTTATCCTTACCCATTGTCTTGGCATGCAGTCCCCGGGTGCATGAGGGGTGCGATCTAGCCGCAGTTTGGGCATGGTGTACCTTCTTGAAGTGCATTAGGCATCTAGTATTTTGATGAATATTTAAACAATTATTAGTGCATAGTGAGTGCTGCAGTAATCATAAATGTGTTTAAGGAGGTTGATGCAACATGCAATCTTGCATGATGTGCTCTCCTGAAACGGATTAGGTGTAGTATTTTGAAAAGCACTTTAACATTAATTGGTACAGTAATTATGAATGTGTTTAGAATACGAGGATGTTGGTAATATAAATAAACTCTGAACTGAAAAACTGAAAGACACTGAACTGTATATTCTGACCAGAGAGTACTTTCACTGCATCAAAAGTATGACCAAATTACAAAGGGCGTCTTCTGTACGTGCATAAAAGTTAATCCAATATTAAAGTTTAATCCAGATCTCTAGTGCACATGCGCATTGGCAGCGTCCAGGATCAATTTATAACACACTTCTCGACTAGGATTTAATATTAAGCTCATTTTTTAATCCTGCACATGCGCAGAAGGGACAAGTTAATCCCACCAATTATGTACTGTTGCATCACGAGTCCATCATGAACTTCACAGGCGCCATCGCTTGAGTTGCCATTCAGAGTTATTTTCGTCAATAACACCGATCGTCTTAGAATTTTCATAATAAATATTTATTATGAAAATGATATTGTATATATTTACTCAACTGATCAAATATCCCGATAAAGGAAATAACTTATGATAATGAATATAAAAAACAAAATAATCCCATGAGGACTGTGGCAAGGAAGGAACTCGTATTTGCAGGTTAGTGAAACATAAAACTATATGGTCAAGGTCACACAAGTTGACGTTTAAAATCAAATATGAACCAGTGTTTTAAAGAAGAAGTATGTGCTGAGTTTTTCTAAACTACTTTACTACAAAATTAGCAAGTATACTTTCGTATGGACCTCGTGAACAGCATCCTGAAGAAAACACGTTTACCTCGTTCAACATGATTCATCGTAGCAAAGAGCTGTTCGAGGAAACTGCGTGATGTATATTAATTGGTTAATGTCATTTTTGTACTTGAGTGTCATTGTAAAAAGGTTTTACTACAACAAATATAAGATGATCATGAAAAAATAAAATATTTCAAAAATAATCATGTTTCCCTCATAAGTAGGAGGGTGTCTCGTAGTTATCATATGAAGATCAAACTGCATCTTGAGTGACTGACTACAGCTTTCTATAATAATCACATTTTTTTCTAATATATAAAAATGAATATCAGTTTTCATTTATCCAAGTAAATTTTATACCGGACTGCAAATCTTTAGGTAAATTCTTTAATACTGTCTTCTATATCATCTATATAGGGAGATGAAGGGTACTTGTTGAATAAATATCTTTTGGATGATTTTGTTGCTTATTTACAGGTATGAGTGCATGACTTGCTCCAAACGCTACCCTATACAACATGCAACAGTTATGTGTAAAGAGCAATATTGCACAGAAATGTTTCAAAATACCACGGAGTTTTTTCAGCAATAAAAAGACAACATACCTCACTCCCACCCTTAAGATTTGTAAAACCTATTCCCACACGCCCAGAAATCCGAGACCAGGACTTTCACACCAGCAGCAGAGGGGAGAGCCATCACTACATCACAGACTAGGAACATCACAAGAATTGATAGAAATTTAAAGAGACAGTCCATTAACACACGATTTCGAACAAATCATATTTGAAACAGATAATCCTGAAGAAATGTGTACAGAAAATAGAGGTACGAACCTTCTTACTCTAATATGATTCTAGTCTTAGTTTTCAATTTTAGGAGGCATTAGGAGAACATTAGGAGGCATAAAGAATTGATTAATAATATGAATAAGTTTTTAATGCCTTGTCTTCAAACATGTAGGTACGTCTGGGATAAAAAAAAAAAAAAAAAAAAAAAAGGGAAAGGTGGTCTTCAGAAGCAACTGAGTTTATACTACAGAATACTTTAAACAATTGGGGGGCAAAGCAGTGCAGAGATTTTTTTTTTTTAATGGAAGATAATTAACATTATGAAAACATTAGTATGAGTCTCAGTTTCATGAAATACACATTAAAATTAATAGACATTTTGAAACCTAAGGGATGTCTAAAATAGGTTTTTAAATATAATTACCAAAAGCATGCCATTACAAAAAGAAAGAAAAAAAATTAAATCTCCCTAAAGAGCGAATTTCACGCGCGACATTTCTCTTCTCTCCAACATGTTTTCGTGATAACAGTAGTGACAGAATAATGAGTACGACAATTTTTACTGAACATTATTATCGCGCCGTTTGGCAGCGGAGATTGTCGTCTTCGGTACGGACACGGTGGATTAGAATTAAACTATTAAGAGTTAAGGGACGCTACAGAAGACGCCCAAAGTGATTGTGACAGCACCCTCATCAGCACAGCCATGATGTCGAACTTCTACCCTACTCAACCGATATTTCCTCGCTACTATTAAAACAAAGTGCCAGATTAACTATTGCCCTCCCTAAACCTGCCCACACCTTACTTATAAGTTGCAAACCATTCTTTTGGTTTATACCTAAATTTAGCTTGCTTAATAACGTTCTCAAGTTTAATATCTTGTCCTCAGTAATGCTGGATTTAATGCTTCTTTAATTTTAAGGTATTGGTGAATATGTAATATGTAACTAATTGTGTTTATTCTGTTGCAATAAGGGTAATGCACTGCAGACACCATGCTTTATATAGGCTTACACGGTGAGTCTACTATGAAGGAATCGTACCCTGCCGCACATTTGATTTACACATACAGTGCTTATGAGTCGCGCCCGAGACGTGCACGGTTTACTTAAATTCAGGCCCAGCTGTCTACATATGTCTGAAGCATAATTAGTTGCCTATTTCGTCAGAAGATACAGAACCTTACACATTAAATTTCTCTCTACAGTATGATGGTACTCTAATGAAATTAATCCCAAGTAATTAACACCCTTCACGTGTCAGATGTTTTTATTACACTCTCAATCTTCAGGCATCTTAGTAAGGTTGCTGACAAGTAACTTATCATCCTCCTTATCCCTTTTACTGGCCTGGTACACTTTTATTTCAGCCCTAAAGATGATGTAAACCTCCTTACCAAGTTGATCCTCCTTACTGCTGATTTTTTCACCTCACAGTGAAACCTCCTCTATGCCACTGCTCTGGTCAAAAGGGGACCATGGATCACCAGCAACCATCTATAGAAGTCTATCAGAGCTTACCACCAGATGCGCCATCAGTGCAACCATATGCTCCAAGGCTGGACGGTTCCCACTTAGCACCTCTATACCCAGCCTTTCCCCTTCAGCGGATGCAAGTGTTCACTTTGATTTCACTTCTGGTACTTCTGTGCCTTAAGCAAGCATACAAATTCGCAAGGAATAGATGCAGAAAAAGGATGTTTCATCAGACAACAAGGGCAGAACAAGAGGGACAGGCAGACCGGTTAACGGCACACAGACGACGGTTTTACTCGTCACCGCTCTGTCCTCGGTACCTTGGGCAAAGCAAGGCAAAGACCCCTTTCATTCACCTGCTCACAAGCCCAACCTTATCATAAGGTAGAGTGGCGAGACTCCTGAGGCCAGATTCTCAAAAGAGCCTTAAGTTAAGGCGCGCTGGAGGCCTTAACCGTCCTGCGGCGACCTAAGTTAAGGCCCGTCAAAAGCGCCGTATCTCGGACTCAGCATCGTATGCACAAACGGTTTTTAAGGCGCCTTATCCATGCCCTAAGTCCCGCAGAGCCGCAAATCACTTAAGGCGTCGGATCTTCGGTGGCCAATCACAGCTGCCGTTTCAGGCGGCTTTTAGGGTATCTTGACCAATCACAAGCCGTAAATGCCAATCGGCTGATTTCGTAAACACAACGCTGTGTCCAGTCCGTGGCATGATAAAACTTTTCAACAAAATTGGTATTATTGAAAATGTAACCCCACACCTAAATTAAAGAATCTCAGCTTACCCAGTGGTACAACACATCATTCTAAGAATTTGCCTCTATACCATTTTCTGCGCAAATTGATAATAACGGTGTTACAGAGGGTATAAAATGCACAATTTCCAGGAGCCGCAGTAAGCTTACGCCTTCAATGCCGCAACAAATGACAAAAAGTCGTTAAGATTGACGGAAAATCAGACGGATTTGTAGCGGATGACGTAGGCAAGGGAAATCATGTGAGCCAATTAGATTCGAGCGTGAACATGATGTGAACATAGACACTCAGTAGAACCAAACAGATATGGAATAGGTCATCACGTGGCGAAAGAAATGTGTCAATATACTATGCTAGTATTCTAATGATGTTTCTCGAAATTACCCCTCAAATTAACTGATATGTATCATGCCCTCCCCAGCTATCGGGACCGATATCGTAGTTACACTTCGTTTGCGAAGGAAATGAGCGCTAGATTCGCTCGGAGCACGACGAAAGCTATTATAAAATTATTCTATTCACCCAAAAAATGGTGTGTGGTTGCATCTATCGGGAAAAGCAAATCACAGTTATGTTGGAATGCTACACTTGTTGCCTTATCTAGGATTCCACAGTTAGTTTATGTACACCTAATGACACCGTAATTGAGTAAAATACAAATTGTAATGTTGTATTAATTGTTCTAGGGCTGAAAATGTCATTTACGCTTCGCCGTAAGTTGCTAAGGCTGCTCTCCCCCTGCCTTAACCGAGGGCGCCTTAACTCGCACCAATATGGCGGGCCCCTTCCTCTGTGCATGGGCCGTAAGATCGCTGGCCGTAAGTTAAGGCGCCTTAAGGAGATATGGCGCCTTTACACGTTTGAGAATCCGACCCCTGGTTTGACAAACGAAGTGCTACCCTGTGGGGGCTGCCTGTGAAAATCCTCGTCTCCATCACCCGCAGCACCGGCAGGAGGCCCAATGTTGGCGACCGCTGAAAGAATAGTGACAGATCGCAGCCTCCGCTGGTGTCGTGATATTGAACGAACAGAACATTAATCGAACAAAATACAGCATAACGTTATGCGCATGAAACCCTCCCATAAATAGTAACCCCGAG